AACCTCGTTATTTCAGTTAGTTTTGGCCTTCAAAGATTTTGTGGGGGAGAAGCTGTTATGACACATTCTTAAACATTGAGTAGACTCTTTCTAGTGCTCTAGAAGGCAAAATACCTAAAGTAGTGTGGTTTGAAATGCCTTCAAATTACTCTCATTTGAAATTTTTTTAATATACAGCTTACTCTTGTTAGGGTATAGTACGGATAAGACTTTTAATGAGTCTAAGATGTCATGTTTATGTGAGAGAAAATTAGAAATGCCTCTAAAATAGAAGAAGGAGATGATACTAAGCTGCAAGTGGAGCTTGAGTTCTCACGTGACTATGTTGATGAAGTGCAGGTGGAGAGAGTCAGAAAATAGTTATAACCATAGGAAATTAGGAAAAAGTAGCATGCAGCCTCAAATAGAGGAAGAAGAAGTACAAGAAGAACAAAAATATATTATAGATAATTATCAACTAACTATAGATAGAGTTATGAGAGATATTAGAGAACCTTCTGGATACATAGATTTTCATTTTTTGTTGATATTAACGTTATTTTCTCATTATAATTTGGAACTTGAACAAATGGATGTAAAAAATACTTTTTTGCATGGGGGCTTACTTAAAACAATCTATATGAGTTAGCTACAAGGTTTCATAAATAGAAATAAATCCGATTATATGTGATTGTTAAAAATATTCTTATATGGACTAAAACAATTACCTAGAAAGTGCTACAAAAGATTTTGATACTTGTATTTTAATTGTTGGGTTTATTGCAAGTACAAATGGGGTGACTGTGCTTACATGTTAGTTGGATAATGTTAAAAATAAGTGTGTAACCAAATAAAGAATGAGCCTAAAAACCTGGACCTACAAATTATACATACAAAGTCAACCTACAAATAGAGAAGGCAGGATTTCTAAATAAAGAATGAGCCTGAAAAAAAAATCATGCAACACCATATTTAAGCATGCGGATTTACTTGCTTATAAAGAATATATGGAATACTTGTTTCCCTAGAAAGTTTCCATACATGGCAATTACCTGTTAGACGACGTAGTAATATAAAAGCTAAAAGAATTAATCTGCTTGGTCAGGGCCACATGGGAGACCTCAAGGTAAAAAGTCAGATACTTTGTGAATTTATGAAGCAATAAAGACAGGCACAACAAGCCCACCTTGATAGACTTAGGGAGCAACTCGTATGCATTATGAGTGGAATGAAATACCATATATAGGTCTTAGAAGAATGAAAAATATATCAAAAACAAACTATAAATCAAAATCAGATTTTTCGGGTTCTAAAATTCAATACATAAATAATTCAATCGGAGTTGTAAACCCAAAAAATGAGACAAAAGATGCCTGCATACTCTTAAGTAATACAATTCAATTTAATTTCACAATCTATAATCATTCAGCATAAAAGTTAACTTTTCTTAAGTTCAATATCACAATCTACAAATCATAGTGCATGGGGAATAAAGAAGTTCATATTATGGGATTTTATAAAATCAACACCTCATATTTATTTAAAAATCAGAAAAGCTAGCTAAAAACCTTTACACGAACGTTAAAAATAACAATGCAAAAATTCTTATACTAACATTAAATTTATGCTTCAGATTCCATCATCACCTAGCTTAAATGAGAGCAATGGATTTACAAGCAAATAGATATGAGCTTCACTAGATTTCTACATGTCCAAAGTCGGCATCTACCAAACCAAGGAAGAAAACCTGCAAAATGGAGGAAAAATCATTGGAAAGACCAATGTTCAAATAATGAATATCAAAAAAACAAAAATGATGCACAAAAACCACTATTATTCCTCAAATTGCAAGTTGCTTTTGGCTTCATCTGTTTTGATGATTCTCATGCTACCAATGAGAAATCAACTAGCATCTCTATCTTATTCATCACATTTCCCTCTGTTCATATGTGTTAATCCATTTAAAATTGTCTTCGTCTTCGTCTTCACTATAGCATGGCCAATAAAATTGAACGGTTTTAACTCCGGTATGGCCTTCAAAACCTTTTTTGGTTTGGCAATGTTTGGAGGTTTTGAAGGTTCTTCCACATAGCTCTCCTTCTTGTCAGGTGGATTTGTTTCATGCTCTAAGATATAATCCACCATTTCATTGGTCCCTTTTTCATCTGCACATGTATCAAGTCTTGAATAGTTG